TTTTCAGGACCCCACCTTAAAGTTTTGGGACCCCACTTTGGGTCCTGACCCCAACTTTGGGAAACACTGCAGAGGAACCTGAACACACCACGCTCTGAGGACCAAACTGATCCTGAAGGTTTAAAATCAGATAAAAACAGCAGCAGCTGTTTGGGATCCCCTGAACCGGGTCCTGATCCAGGTCCAGAACTTATCAAACCACAGATGAAGTACAGAACCAGGACCCGTCAAAGGTCAGAACCTGTCCTCCCGAGGAGATGAACAGAATGCGGTTTTTGAGTCTGGAAGCTGAATTTGTTTTGGATTATAATCTGTAATCCTCTTTGTCTCAGACACAACAAACATCTTCAGATTAAAGCTGCGCTCTGATTGGTTCRCCCAGGATCAACAACAACAAGAAATCATAAACACAAACTAAAACCCGAACCTTTCTCTGCGAAACTGATGATCTCCGAACTTTCCTCCAGAACCTCGGGTCCCATCGGGAGTCCGTCCAGGTTCGGGATCTCCAGCCTGCCGTCCTCGCGCAGCTTCCCCGCGTGCAGCTTCCGGAGCGCCGTCACCATGGCAGCCTTCGGAACCGGGTGTGTGATGTTGGGCCGGTCCCGGAGCTGCAGTCGAGTCAGGATGTGCCTCTTCACCGCCTCCAGGAGCTCTCCGTCCACCCGTCCGGACTCCTCCTCCTCCTCCTCGGGCTGAGCGGAGGCGGCGCAGGACGCGCAGGAGACCCGGGTCGAGTCCGGGTCAGACTGGGCGCTGCAGCGGGAGCAGAGGAGTAGAACCGGGACCAGAACCAAGAGGAGGACCATCCGGAGAAGACAGACGGTCATCTTACAGAGGAGTCAAGAGTCAATTTCCTCTTTCCTTTCACAATAAAATCATCCAAACTAAAAAATAAAATTAAAAAAACTGGGAAGACCCCTTCAGTCCAGAACCGGACTCTTGAAGACCCGGTCCACTTCAGCCTTTCTGAAACGATTCTAGCTTTATTCTGACGTCATTATAAGATCCTCCCGAGATGACAGAACCAGGAGTCCAGTTCAGGTCCGTCATCAGTCAACCCGATCCGGCCTTCTGAGGTCCAACAGGTTCCACAGAGCCACTTCCTGCCGGAGCATCCTTCCTTCCAGAACCTCTTCAGACCGGTCCGACCGGACTCTCCCGGTCCGCTGAGGGGGACCAGAGAGCGCAGAGGAGCGGATCCATTCCGGCGTGCGTTAAAAGTCCAGGAGCACGCGCCGGAAAGTTTTTATGTACAGGAGGGAGGGGGCGGGGCCCGTCAGATTGACTCCGCCCCCCCAAGCATCACCGCTTTTATTAAACTGTTCAGAAAATAAAAATGCACTTATTTTTAACCTTTGGTTAGAAACAATAGCTGAAAGCTACAAGTAGAAAAGGCTAAAAWGTAGCTAAAGAAGACAAACGGAGCCAGTAGCTGAAGTAGATTTTAAACAGTTTTTTTTGAAGGAACTAGTTGTCAATAAAGTTAAGTTACAAATTACTTAAAACAAAGGTGACAGCAGCTTAATGAGCTGAAGGTTTTTGATGTGTGAATGTTTACCAGAAATGCAGCCTACCGTATTTATTCATGTATTATACGATCTCGAGTACAATATGATTATGATTTTTTGAGATTAAAAAGCATTGAAAATCTAATCATCAATAACCCATATATAATACTATCCCCCCATTTTATGGATGATTTTTAGGGTTAAATTTCTAGTATGATACATGAATAAATACAGTAATTCCAGATTTTTGTGAAAACACGGATCTGAGTGAAACTTTAACCCATTTATTTTTAAATTTCTTCTTTTAATAAAACTTATAGGCATTTCTTTTATTCTTAAATGATTTATTTGTATCATTTTGGTTTGAACTTATGTATTTTTATGAATAAATCAAAGTCAAACTGAAGCCCAGAGACCTGCCGGGCTCAGAACCGCATCAGTCAAATGAGTCTCTTCAGTCAAATCTGACCCTGATCCAATCGGAGCTCGCGACTCATCCCAACATTTGTTAGGAAAAACCTGGAACCAAATCCACCGTGACCTCTGACCCCCCACCTGCTGATCAGGTTACAGAGCCGGTCCACCTCAGCTGGTTCTGATGGAAAATTAAAATGGAGAAATGGCGCCATCTTCTGTCCATCTGCTGCAACTAAAACAAAAGGCTGAAAAATGGAGTAACCCCTAAGTGCTGTTTTTGTTGCATTATTATCTGTGGGTCAAAAGCCTAAAGGAACAAGTTATAAAATCAGCTTATTGATAATTAATAATAAGGAATAATATTAAATAACAGTGTCCAGATTGTCGCATAGAAAACCACTATATACATAAATTTAAAAACTATGATATTCAATCAACCAATAAAAGTTGATTGCAGGATTTATATTAAAATATAGGAATTTTGTGACATCACTTCCTGTTAGTCTCCCTCTAATAGGAAAGAAAAGGTAAGATGTGTCACTCCAACCTACATTTCTGTCTCTCAGTCCAATAGCTGATTTAGAAAAAAAAACTATATATTTACTTTTGAGTAAAACAATTTATTGATAATTAATTTATGATATCAGGTTGTGTCAACTTGTAAGTCATTGTATTAACCAGTGATGTTCTAAATGTTTTCCTCAGTCACTTTCAGGTCACGAGTGAGTCAACTTCAAAGGCATAGACGATCTTTGCAGGTCCGGGTAAAGGTGGGGCGCTGATTCTGATGAACAACTTGGAAAAGTTTTGTGAAGCGGCTTTCTGTGTGAACGGGAAGAAACGGTCAGCAGGTGAGTAACCGGACCTTGTCCGGGTCGGTTTAACATGTCTTTCAGTGTTTCAGCGGATCGATCCGGAAAGTTTTTATACAGTTTTATTTTTTGTTTAAATCCCTCCTCTTGTGGAGAGAAGCGTTATCTATCGCTACTTCTCCGGATAGCTAACAGCGCGCTGAGTGACGCGGCCTACGGCCAATAGCAGCCGCCATAGGAGAGCTTTGTTGGCTGCTTAGCCAATCAGAGGCTGCGGTGAGATTGAAGGCGGGAATCTGGAAGAGCAGAAGTCTGTTTAGTGTAAAAACTGGTTTCCAGCTGTCAGCTGAAGCAGAGAGGAAGCTGAGTGTCGACAGAAGGACTGGTAGTTCCTGTTACTCAGCCAGAACTCTCCACTAACACTATTTAYTCTCCAGAGGTCGAAGGCCATCTGTGTTATTTATTCCACAGCAGCTCTGCATCACAGAACTTTAAACCATAACCACATTTTCACCACACTGAACATTCCCAGGGACTCCAGAATAGTTCCTCCTCTCTGATACATGTTCAGGACTGGTTCTAGAAAYAGATCTGTTCCGGTTCTGGAAAGAAACAGCTTGTATTTAAAGTACCAGAAAATCTACGAATCCTGATCAAACTAACGTAAACAAGTTTTTTATTGCAGACGGGAAGTGAGTCACCATTGCCATACATGGATAGATGACATCAGGTTATTACAGAAATCAGGTTATCAACAAAAGCAACAGCACAGGTAATCAGCAGGACGGTGGAGTCAAAGGACTGAGGACCAGATCCAGAATCCAGCTGAGCGCTCCCTCACTGACAGAGAGTAGGCTGGGTTGTTGTTGATCTCCACGGTCTGACCTGGACCTCTGTGTGGTGGTTTCTTCCAGAACAAAGCTAAGATGTGATTGGATGGTGCCCATAAGGGGGTGGGGGTTTACCTGTGGTTTATTGATTTGGGAATAAAGGTTTGGACCAGGGTTGAGGAGGGGCATAGACCCCCAGTTACCTGTTCTACACTATTTATTGCTTTTTATTTTTTCACCGACTTTGTTCTGTTTTAAGTAAAAGTCCTGTGATTTCTGATTTGTATAACATTTATACTTCAACATATTTTAACTTTATTTATAAACTTGTCAACATGGAAACACATTGAAATCAAAGGGGAAACATTTTTTTGTTGAAGAGCTTCACGTTTTTATTCTCTAAAACTCAAACCTTTTAATCAGCAGGTAGAGCAGGATTTAAAAAAATAATTTAATGTTTCATCAAACAAGTGTTCCTCTTATTGTTTCCCTCAGGCTGAGGTGTAGCAGGAACACAGGAACCTTTGGAGTCAACAGGAGCTAAGATCTGGACCTAGAACTGAACCATCGCTGGGCTTCTTTAAGGAGGTAAAACCTTAAAGTCAATGAATAAATAAGACAAACAAGTCCTCTAGACCCGCTGGACTCATCGTGACCTTTGGGTCATTGATCTGTTTGGTCCTGGTGGCTTCATCTGGACCTCCAGGACCCAGATCATAGAGTTGCTTGGTTCTGGTGGTCTCATCAGGACCTTCAGAACTCAGATCATGGATCTGCCTTTATTTTGATTATAAAATGTTTTGTTTAAATCCTTTTTATGGAAGTCTTGAATCCACGTCCTGTTTTTGGTTTCCAGTGTTTCTCATTCTGGTGGACCCGCCAAGGCCCGGCCCGGACCTGTGAGCCTCTGGACCTAAGCAGACCAGAGCCATGGCCTCTGGTAAGAACAAGAACCAGACCTCCCTGGTCCTCCATAAGGTGATCATGGTGGGCAGCGGCGGTGTGGGGAAGTCTGCACTGACCCTGCAGTTCATGTACGACGAGGTGAGCCTTCAGCCAGGACTGCGTTTCCCAGAATCCCCTGTTTCTCCCGCGTGTTTCTCACACATGCTCCTGGTTCTTTTGGACAGTTTGTGGAGGACTACGAACCCACGAAGGCTGACAGCTACAGGAAGAAGGTGGTTCTGGACGGCGAGGATGTCCAGATTGACATCTTGGACACGGCGGGTCAGGAGGACTATGCCGCCATCAGAGACAACTACTTCCGCAGCGGCGAGGGCTTCCTGCTGGTCTTCTCCATCACGGAGCACGAGTCCTTCACGGCCACGGCCGAGTTCAGGTTCTGAAACTGAGTCAAACTGATGTTTACTCTGCTAAAGAGTAGGACCGGTCCTGGTCCAGGTCTGTTCAGGAATCAGTCAATTTTCAATTCAATTTCAATTTCTTTATTCATTGCATAAAAAAAAACAAATAATTTTATATACAGTAAAAGAAAAATATAAAAAGAAAAATGAGGAAAAAAGTGTTTATGTGTATGTACGTATGTGTGTGTGTGTATGTATATATACACTCACCGGCCACTTTATTAGGTACACCTGTCCAACTGCTCGTTAACACTTAATTTCTAATCAGCCAATCA